TACAAATGACTAGTCAAAAATAACAACTATGCTTACTTACAAAATTTTTGTGTGGATTTTCTGCTAAAATGCCGGCTGTGGAAGACAAATCCTTTATTTAAGGCAAGAACAGGGAAAACATAAGCAGAAACCATGACAGTATCTCAGATGCTCTTCTGTGGAGCTACGGGAACTTTGAGGAGGGAGCACACAATTCACATGCCAAACCAACAACCTGCAGCCAGTGATGCTGCTACCTGGTTACTCCTTTCAGCACACATTTCCTGTCATGGAATACTGTACCTGGGGCCCTTTCTTATCCCCCATTTTATTTTATTCCTGGGATATGTTGGCTCCCAGGCCAGCAGTAAGAATGTGAGGGATAAAAGTAGTGAGAGGGAAAGGACAAAAAAGGCACTTTTCTTCCTCTTTCATGATGAAGAACAGCAACTGCCTGCAGCATGAGATGATGCAGATGTGGGAGAAAAATGTTTTTTCTCCCAGGTTTTTCCATCTCTGCGGTGACCTTCACCTCCTGTGTAGCTCTTTCTTTCCAGAGTATTTCCCTACCCTTTCTTACTTATAGAGTAACCCTATGCTCTATACATCAGCAGACATTTTGTTGGTGGGGTGCTGTGCAGAGTCTTTCCTCCCCTGCGGCCTTATCATTTGTGTCCTTTCTCACTACCATAGCTATCACCTCATGATCTCAAACACTTGCACCCATTTTTCCAAGGGGGTGGTGACATCTGACTCTGCCTGAAGTGTGTTGTCTCCCTCTCTCCAGTTTAGGTATGTCAGGTAGCTGAATAGTCGGAGATACTTTGTGCAGGCGTCACTTGGAAATGCAATTTTAATTCCAGCCACGAGGGGACCTTCATAGTTTGTCTCTTTCCTGCAGGTTCGTCTGATCCATACACTCAGATCAGTTGCCGTTTTGATCCTTCTTAGGTAAAAAGACATTCGCCCCTTTTCCTTTTTAATATGGCTTTCTTTTATTAGGTGTCCAGAGTTTATACCAAAAATGTATAAATGTCGTGACTAGAGAAATTTGGCAAATAGATTACAAAAATTAATCCCAAAAATAAAGAGCTCCCACTTATTGCAGAAATTGTTTTCACATCATATGATCTGTGTTTGGAGTTTCATTCTCCTCTTGCATGCAGCAGCTGTGTACTTGCATCATTTGATCTGGTTTGTATGGCAAAAAGAGGATGTGACTGTAACATGCACTAACTTGCTAACTTTTTCTAATGAGCAGCAAAGATAGAACAACTAAAACACGTGGCTGGGGTCCCCAGCCCCTTTGGAGCTGGTGGTGAGCCACTGAGGCTGCCTGCTGCCCCTGCTGCTGCCCCTCTGCCAGCTCCACGGGGCTGGTCAGGTCATCACCTGCTCTGCTCCCCCTCCTCTGCACAGAGAAGCACCATCCCCTGGCACAGCTGCTCCTGACAGCACTCCTGAGAGGCAGGCAGCCCACCCACCGCTTTCCCCCTTGGCTTCACAGCAAGAGACCTGCTCTTCATCTCAGCCACGGAGGAGAAACTCTGCCTCAGGCATCAATGGCTGTGGGCGAGCTGGGATCTTCCCTTAGGCACAGCCAGCACTTGGCCCATGTGCCTTTCTTCCAGTTCTGGAAAAAGGGTCTTTCTGCATAAAAACACACCCAACTCCTTTTCTCCCCAGCTATATCTTGAGAGAGATATGGTAACTACTAATAAATGCTTGTGTTTGTTGCATCCAAGAGAGACTTGCGAATCACAGCACTTCAGTAATTCTCAGGCATTCTGAGGTCATGCTCAGCACAGAATTGAAGAAGGTGGTGTTTCTCAGATGTCTGAGAAATCTCATGTGGGCAGTGAACAATTATGTATGTACTACACAGGCCAAGTTAAACCCAAGGCTCCCCTCTAGATCCTATTTAAACTGTTGTCTTAATGAAATATTTCTAATCTTTTTAGAAATGTCCATCACATCTTTGCCTCTGTATCATCAAGGCTTAGACACCCTCTGGGAACACAAACATAAAGGAAGTAGAAACAAGCAATATGTTAACGATAACAATGTTTAGAAAGGGATTTCATGGGAATGAAATAGACTTTTATTTTTGCCAATATAAATAAAGGCAGAAAGCTGTTTTTGTAGCAGGCGTGTGTGAAATGTGAAACCCTGGCAGTGCGCAGTGGTACCGATGTGAGCCAGAATGATGGTGATAAGCAAAACACTTCACCCCTGGAGGTGGGAATGTGATCTGGTGGTTACAGTAGCACAGAGCAAATTTGAAGCTCCCTGTTCCTGCCCCCGACTGACGATATATCTGTAGTCACCTCATGTACTGTCTATCAGTTCACCCATCTGTACATCAGGGACATATTTATCTGTATCTTATCAGAGCCAGCTCTTGGCAAGCATCACCAGTGGATGCGGGCAGCCCTGTCCTGTCAGGAATGCAGGATTTCACAAGTGAAAAGTAGAAGTCACCAGCACTTTGTCAGGACACAGAGTACCATTCCATTTGTTAAAACAGCTGTATGCTTACAAGGAAATGTGGTGATACTGACTGAAGAACCTCTTTATTCTCTGGATAGCTTTGAAAGATTTTGAGTTAAATCTTGCACAAACTTCAGACACCAGTAGCTCTCTAGAGCGATATGCTCTAGAGAAATGAAGTCAATTAAACCTATCTAACCTTACCCAAGCAACTAATCAATATTATAAAAGGCAGTTTTTATGCATGTATTTATTAAAATGATAATGTATTGCATGTTTTTGTTTTCATCTTCATTAGTTGAAAGTAAAATCTTTTAAATGATATTTTATAACTGAACTGAGTTGGTAGTCCCAGAACCGTTGCCAAGGTTAAGGTTTCCTAAATAAGGTTTCCTAATCGCAGACCACACATAATCTTGTAATTGCAGAATCAGCAGACAGAGCAACGGCTAAAAGAGACTGGAAACTGAAATGTCCTTCCACATGCAGCAGGCCATCTCCTGAAGGGCTCCTGTCTGCCCTGTGAAAGCTCACACCTAACCCCTCTCCTGTGGATAAATATATTTTTCCAGCTTGCTTATCTACAGACAGAAGCTGCCACAGTGACATAAAAGATTTACATGGGTCCAACCTGTGTGTATAATCTTGAATACCCGTTTAAAACTGCCCTCCGCATTTTCTGCTCTATCTATAAATTTATTACTGTGAGTATTCTTATAAAACCATCAGTTATAAAACAATGCTTTTGATTAAGCTGTTATGACTTTAGGTATATATTAGGTCTAATAAATGTTCATGTTTTGAGACTGCCTTTCTGCTACATGAAATTTGAAACTGATTGCAAAATTAATAATAAAAGCAGTGACTATCTTCTTTCAGAAAGAATGTAAATCCATTACAGTCTACCATGAAGGAATACCCTCCTGCAGGTGCTTTGGTGTTCTCATTGCCTGTTGGGGAAAAGTTGCACTGCCAACCACTTTACTGCGCACTTTACCAGTTGTGTTTTCACATAATTTGGTGGCAGCTGTCAGCCCTGCCTCCCCCCTCACATACCCCTTGGGAGAACTCCCACCACGGCTTCTACATAAAACTAAGTCCACCACAAAGCTTGGCCATTTAAGCCAAAAATCCAGACCTCCCAAATTCCTGTCTAGGCACCATGTAGTTTCAGAAAAGTGTCCAAAGATGACTGATTTTTTTTTTTTTTTTAAAGTTTCTCAGCTGCCTTTCTGTCTGCTCCTTAGCATTCACAAGCTGTGGGCCATGTGAGAAGCACAGCAGCCACCTCAGGAGAAGGCATGTTGTGTGGTGCCTTTTGGAACAGGCTTTTTCAAAGGTAGCCTGAAAGATCAGGCTGTAATATAATCAACTGATTATTTTACAGATGATCAGACCGAATCACAAGACAGGTTAACAAATCAGTTATAGCATCAGCGGAGGGAGGAGTCCCAGCCGTGGCCCAGGCTGGGACTGTGCTCGGTGTGGTGGAGCTCCACAGCCCCTTCTGCAAGGAGCTCCCAGCTCAAGCACCAGGCAAGAGAGAGCAGATGGTGAGAGGCAGATGGGAGAGTACAAGGAAACAATGAGATAAATGAGCAAAAACTCAGCTGAAGACTTTAGCATTTGGTTCCAAAATTATTAATTTTAGTAATCACTTCAGCTGATGTAACCCTACGGTAGAACGCCTTTCCTGTTCCAAAGGCCTTAATAGCTACAATTACAACACATGCGGCAGCCCAGGAGGGGTTACCTTTTAGGTAAAGAGTGGGAGTTCAGCAGGCAAGAAGTACCAAAGCAGGGGGTGTCAAACGCTGAATTCGCTCAAGGGGGCTTAGGTATCGCAGCAACCGGCGGCTGAAGGCAACCTGACTGAGCACGGCTCAGCAGTAACGCGCTGACTGACAGACAGTTCGGGCTTCCCGGGAGGCCGGCGCTGCCCCAGGCCGCTGTCCCACGCCGCTGGCAGCCCGCCGGGGATGCCACAGCGAGGCGTGGGGACCCGCAGCGCGGCCGGGGGAGCGCCCTCGGCACCGCGCGGTCACTCGCGCACCGCCACCCGGTCCCGCGGGCTGGTGACAGCCCAGTCACATCCCCGCCCCCGCGGGGCGCGCCGAGCCACCCAGGGATGCCGCGGTCCCGCCACGGCAGCCGCGGAGGCCCGGAGGTGGCCCCCGGTGTCACCCCCGCACCGAGGGGATGGTCACACACGGACCCCAGACCGCCACCGCCACGCGCAGCCCTGAGGGGGTCGAAATCCCCAGGGAGGGTCAAAGGCCGCATCCCCCGCGTCCCCAGCCGGGGGTGGGCTGTGGGGCCGCGCCGCCCTCCGGCCCGCGGGCGGCCGGGGCGCGCCGCGCTGCGCAGCCGCCGTGCCCGGGAGCCGCGGCGGGCGGAGGTAAGGCGGGCGCGGGGCGCCACACCCGGACGGGCACCGGGACACCCCCAGGCCGCTCCTCGGGGCCGCCGCAGGGAAAGCGAAAGCAAAAGGGCGGTGATGGTGATGGTGGAGGCGGCGGCGGCGGGAAGGGGCGGGCAGGGGTTCCCGCGGCGCGGCTCGACTCGGCTCGATGCGATTGGATTCGCTCCTCCCCTCAGCGCCGAGGCGGAGCGGGGCGGTGGCGGCGGGCGGGCGATCGGGCGGGCTCAGCGCGCCCCCATGGCCCTGGCGCCGGGTCAGCGGGCACGGTAGCAGCCTCCGACTGTCGCCGCGGGTGACTCAGAGCTGCCCGGGCAGGGTGGGCTGGAGATGCGCCTCTCCGCCGGGCTCCGGGCAGCCGCGGGAGACTGACTGAGCCACAAAGAAGTTTCCCCGGCGGCGGCGGCGCGGCGCTCCCTCATGCACGCCTCCGGCCGCCGGTCCTGGAGCGCTGCTCGGCAGGCGCCCGGCGCCGACCCCGCCATGGAGCCCCGCGCGGGGCTGCACAGCAGCCCGGAGCTCAGCCGGGCCAAGCGGCTGACCGTGGGGGAGCTCTGCTCCCTCTTCGAGGCTCGCTGCGCCGCCGTCGCCGCCGCCGCCGCTCGTCAGCTGCCCGACCGGCCGAAGAGGGGCTGCCGACCCCCGAACGGGGTTCTGCCGCCCGTCATCCCCCGGCTCACCGTCACCGCCGAGGAGAGCGAGGAGGCGCAGGGCAGCCCCCAGGCGCGGCCGGCGCGGCCGGAGGGCGGCGGGCTGAGGACGGGCAGCTCGCTGCACCTGCAGTCCCGCCGGCTGTCCAACTCCTCGGTCTCCTCCACCGGCTCCTCGTCCCTCCTGGAGGACTCGGAGGACGACGTGCTGAGCGACACGGAGTGTAGGAGCCAGGGCATCGTGCACTTGGAGCACGGCGAGGACACCAGCCAGGTAGGGGTGTGCGGTTCGCCCGGGACGCGCTGCCCCCTGGCCGGGCAGCTGGGCGCCTGCCGGCTCCTCTGGGGCCAGCAGATGCTCCCGCTTGGAGTGAGGTTTCCGTGACCCAACTCCAGGAAAGCTCCGTGAAACTCCTGTCCTGGGCTGGCAGCAGTGTGCTGCTGTGCCTGTTGGAAAAGCGCTTCTGCACGTGGGCTCCTCAAAAACCCGGCCAGGTGTGCGCTGTTTCTTTCTGCTGTGGAGTTGTACTTTACGTCCCAAGAATATGAGGAGATGTTTTTTGATCATAAGTGGGTTGTTTTTTTCTTTTTTTTTCCAGTCTCCTGTGTCAGATGCTCAAAAAAAAAAATTACCAGGCATTTCCCAGCAGGTATTTTTTGTCTCTTTCAGTCCTCGAGTCTGTGGTTGTCAATTTTTGAGCCACTTCTTGCTGTGAGCATGACAGGAGATGGGGAGGGGCTTGGAATGGATAGAATGCATGCTTTTGTCCATTCTGGCAGCAACACATTCTTCTCAGTAAATCCCCTCTGTAATTTGGCAGCTTTCATCCATGAAGTGTATTTTTAAAGGCATACAGTTAGTTGCTTTTTCATACTCTTTGATGTATATTTCCCTGACTCCATATAGCGTGCTTCTCAGGCTTTTGTACCTGAAAAATGTAGCTTTAGTGAATTACCCCTCCCACCTTCATTGACACTGCTGCTTAAATTGTTGTTCTACTGCCAACTCATTGGTGCTGAATTGTTTTCAAGCAGAACATATGCTTTGATAAAAAAGGTATAAAGAAGAAGTAATGCAACTTGTAGGTGATACCTCCAGCTGGACTTTTCTCATGGTAATTGTGGGTTTACTGCTTTAGAGGACACATAGTACAGGAACTAAAATGCTGTGCACAATATTGGTTTTGTTTGCATCAACTTGTGGCCTGATTTTGGAAGAGGAAAAAAAGGGTTTTGTATTTTGTAATTTTGAGTATAAAGAAACCTGTAATAATACTACTTAGCTTGTACTTTTGATTCTGAGATAGCATCTGGTTTGCACAAAAAAAAATCACTGTTGTTTTGCTTTCTTTTCTAAAAGACATGCTATGCAATTTTGTGAAAGTAGCAGGAGAACAGAAATTAAAGATAATAAAAGGCCATGGGATCATTTGACTCATTATCCCTGCTATGGCAGTATGTGTGCAGCAAGAGTTAAGTGATGATGCTTCAGCAGTAAGAGAACTCTGAGATGGCATCGTGGTAGCTGGTTAAACTCTGTGAATATAGGCTGAAGCAAAACTGATTCTTCAGATGAGAAGCTGTGCTACGTCAAAGCTTATGCTTCTGGTTCTCTGAAGTCATTGGTACTGAATGCAATATTGAGACCTAAATGATTGGGGCTGTATCTTCCCTGTAGGCTGACATGCATGTATCATGTGAGTGCTACCACTTTCTTGTAGGAAGTCTTTATAGTCACCTTTTAATTACAAGAAAATAGAATATTAAAAGAAGAAGATCTCTAACACTGATTTATAGATACAGTAAAAATATCCATATTAGAAATGTTTTAAACTCTGAGAGACCATCCTCTTCACTTAGGTGTGTGGGAAAATGAGAACTTTGACAGTATTATAATAATTCAGTTTTTGAAAAAGTTTTTGCAGTTTTCCAAAGTTTAGTGCAGCTGCAGGACTGTTTAATTCCTCCTTGGTAAAGTAAGTATTCCCTCAACTCAAGTGAAATACTTGATGTTTTAAAAGGCTGAGTTATGTTTCCATACCTGCAGTGTAGAGAAAGATGGGGCAAACTGTGCCCAGGAGCTTGCATTCTGGCTGATTTTCTTTATCTCATTATCCCTTCTGTGGCAAGTCGTTAAACCCGAGCAGGGACTGTACCTAGGACTCTAAACCAGCAGAACTTCATGGCACTACCTGATACCAAGAGCTCGAATCCCAGGAATCTGCTGTTTCTCCTGTGGTCAGGTGCACTGCCCTTCATCTCAGGTGGCCACGCATTTGCTCACCAATACCTGGAGGCATCCAGGACAGTTCTTGTGGTTGATGTCTTTTGGTACTGGACAATGCTGTCCAGTCATTTCCTCAGCAAAACAGTGACCTCATACGGTGCCAAAGTTGGAGTCTATGCTTTGAACCTCTGGGGGTTCAGCTTTACAGGATGCGTCCTTTCAACTCGTAAATCTTGAGGCAGGATGAATGTTTATTTTAGAGTGGAAGGCTTTGGGTTCAAGGCACGCACATGCAAGTGAAAGTAACTACAAATTTTAGGATAACTTATGGAATGGTTTTATATTTTTAAGATTTTATTTAGAGGCAATTTGAAACATTTTGTTTATATTTATTGTTTCCAGTGTATTTTAATAGGTGAAGGCTTGTTCTAAGAGTAGAACACAAAGCATAGAGACTTTTCTGAAGGAAACTGGAATCAGAGGTGGGTCAAAATTTCTGTTTCCTAATTCATGGGAAATTTTGACATTTTAAAATTTCTCTTGTATTGGGGAATTCCCTGAGACTTTTGTCTGGAAATGGTGGAAGTTAATTTGGAGCCTGGCGCCTTATGATTAAACTGAGACCAATGCTCAGAGAACTGCTGGGTTGTCAAGCCTACCAGGCTCCCCAGTGCCTACCAGGGACCTTGGAAACTTGCCCAGGTCTTCAACTGTGGGAGTAGAAGTTCTGATAATGTTCATGTTATCAGAGCTTCAAGGCTTCCATCTGGAGACCCAGGAACTTGAGACCTAAGCTGAAGAAGGCCCTCCCAGGCCTCTCTACTGTTGATCTGGGGATCACGACCCAGCTGAGTCTGAAATATTGTGGGCTCTCAAGCTACCTGTGCAGGACTGTGTGTGAGATGGGAAGCTGGGGAGCCTCTGTGTCCAGGGCTTGCTGCCCTGGAGTTCTCAGGCTGTAAATCCCAGGATGGTATGCCTGAGAGTGCTGTCTCTGACTGTATTCCTTGGAGGAAAGTTCTCCTTGGTAGTTCACTTGGCAAAAAACTTTCCAAGAGGATGAGTGATTCAGTGAAGTATTTCACAGAGCATTTGGGGTTGGATGGATTGACACATCATGATGATGTTAAATTTTTGTTTCTTCTTGAGCACAGTACGTGGGCATGTCCCTGGAGTGCTGGGGGCAGTGAATACCTTGGGGCCGATGGTGACAGTGCGGTCCCCGCCTGGCTCCGCTGGGACTGTTTGCATCTGGGCAGGCCCACCTCTGAGAGCAGCTCAGTGGGTGGTGTTCCAGTTTCTCTGCATAAGTTATTCACGCCATTTTGCAGTAATTAGCAGAGGCTTTGAATTGGGCTGTCCTGGTTTTCCTGAAAGAAGACCCTTCCAACAGTGAAGGGATGGAAGTATGAGAGAAGCCTGTTCTGCTGTGCTGTTTGTTCAACTTGGAGTTTGTGAAAACCAATGGTGCAAAGCTGTGATAATGGAAACTGCATAATGACATATTTGGAGCTTTGTAACTCTTGGCAGTAACTTAAAAGAAGAAATATTGGTTATTTTTTGAATAGCCAATTGACAGAATAGATTTTACCCTATGGCAAAACCTAACATTCCTGCATTTAAATGGGGAGCATACTTTTGTAGCCTTGCTTCGTGCCCTTGGGAGGTGTATATACACAGCTGAATCTTGCAGTGAAAACACCAGTGGTGCCTTTATAGTAATGGAGAGGATACAAGAGTTATGTATTTTTGTCTTCATTCTGTGAATGAGCAGTTTTAAGAAGTATGAAGTCTGGTTAGCACCTTCTTTGTTGGGACAGAGACTTTAAAGAGTGGTTTTCACAGAGAATAAAAACCATGATAATGTACAGCAGCCTCTAGTCCTCTTTATGGGAGAATGTTATTTACTAGATAGAAACATGCCAAATAAATCTACTCATTTTCATAGCTGTGACCTGTCATTCCAAATTCCTAGAACTGTAACCATGAGAACAGCTGACAGTTTGCTAGAGAGAAAGCAGTTCAGTTCTTGCCTGCAGTGATACCAGTCCAGAAACTTTGGGGGATATTTATTGGTGAAGTGCTTTTGGTTTGTTTTCACTGATCTTCTTAATTGTATTTTTCATATCATCAAGTACCTTAAGATGGACAAATGTATAGAAAGGCACACACACTTAATAGCTAACCAACTAAATAAATTAATAAATACAGGATGAAAGTTTTAACTACTTTGGCTCAGGGGTGGGTTACATAAGCTAATGCAGTAGAATATAATTGTTATTTTTAAATGAAGAATAGGAATGACGGGATGACATAAGTAAGACTGTTAATGGGATTTTAGCCTACTCTCCAAAGGAAAGAAAGCTTGTGTAATCACTCTATCAATTCAATTTCAACTGCTTTAGTAGGTTTCAGCCAAATTTGGCAGTGGCATAGACATCTCAAAGTTTCTTCAAGAGCTCTTTAAAGTTTCAGTAAGGTCAGAATGGGTGGAAGAGAGGAAACCGAAATAAGTGCATACTTTTTCTTCTCTGGGGAGAAGGTGCTAGGGGAGATAAACAGTTATCTTCTGTTTCACTTGTTGACTGGAAAATTGCCATGTGCATACTGGCTAGTCCCTAGTGCTTCCATGCTGGATCCAGCTGCAGCAGGTAGTGTCTCCTGTCCTGAGGGTGGTTAGGAGAAGGTGTGGGAGGGATCGTACAGTGCTGTGGGCTGGCGAGGTTAGGGAATGTGGAAGGTGCTAGTTGAGGCACAGGGTGAAAGGGAGGAGTTTTGAGGAGGTGTGGAAATGTTAGGGAGGTTGGAGGGCTTTTGGAACAAGTTTATAGAGGACAGTGACAAGCTGTAGATACTCAGATAAGGGTGCAGGACAGTAGATACCAGTCAAGTAGAAACTAAGCTCTCTAGTGTTCTGCTCACGAAACAGCTGCTTTTGATGGAATACATTTCATGCTGCTAAAACCATGCATATTTATAATGACAGTAGCAAATACTGAAATCTTCCTATTGTATACTGAACAAATTTGAGGCGAACAGCAGTAATGTTCCATGCTTGCACAGTACTTGGAACAAAACTGAACTGAGAGCCATCTCTCAGTTTGAGGATGAATTCTTCACCACTGTACATTGCAGTGGTGGAGTATATCAAACCATCAGCAGTATCAGGTCTAATGGTGACTTTTTATTAGTAGTGTGGATTCTTGTCTGTAAGGAAATTACTTAGCTGCTCCCAAATCAGGTGAGAGAGAGGCAATTAAATGCCTTATCAGATAAATGTTTCTAATCCTGGGTATGTCTGAAATGGTGACTTAGACATTACAAGGTTCTTCTCTTCTGAATCAATTTCGCTCTGATCGTTTTCATTTTTCATATGTTAAAGGACATGTTGTTTGGGCATAAGTGTAAAGTTGTAAGAACTCT